AAATTTTTAAGTGTTCATGAGGGAGGGGGGAGCGGGGAGGGAGGGGGAAGGGGGAAATGAGGAGCTGATGCCAGGGGCTTAAGTGGAGAGCAAATATTTTGAGAATGATGAGGGTAACAAATGTACAAATGTGCTTTATACAACTGATGTATGTATGGATTGTGATAAGAGTTATATGAGCCCCCAATAAAATGATTTTTAAAAATAAATAAACCTTAACTATCTCAGTACAAAAAAAGAACTGGTCAATGTTCCACCAATTCAAGAGGCGGCCTATGATCAATAGTCAGTGATATGAAGGAGGAAGTCCAAGCAGCACTCACGGCATTAACCAAAAACGTGGCTCCAGGAACCGACAGAATACACCAAATGAAATGTATCAAGTAGATGTAGCACTGGAAGCCCTCATTCATTTATGCCAAGACAATTGGAAGACAGCTACCTAGCCAACCGACTGGAAGAGATCCATGTGTCCCCATTCAAAAGAAAGGTGACCCATCAGAATACGGAAATCATAAAAAATATCATTGAGATCACATGCAAGTAAAACTTTGCTGAATAAAAAAAAAGTAGTGACAGTACAGTGGCAGAGAACTGCAAGAAATCCAAGCCAGATTCAGAAGGGGGCACGGCACGAGGGATACCAGAAAAGATGTTTACTTGTGTGTTATTGACTATGTGAAGGCATTCAACTGTGTGAATCACAATGAACTATCATATATAATCAAGTACAAGCTGACCCGAAATTTTCAAACTAAAATTTTCAAAAACTTTATTTTGAAAATTTCGGGTAGGCTTATGCCCGAGTATATACGGTATGTGTAAGACTATAACAGAGTCTGCCAGGAACCAAAGTTCCTCCATGTTTGCCTGAGCCCCTGTACAAAGTTCTGCACAAACTGGAAAGAATGTGCCTTCGTCAAAACCCAAGGAGCCAAGGGCCTCGGTGACCATGCTGGAATCAGAACAAAACAACGATGATGGCCAATGATGGCTATCTGGAGCTCTCCTGACACGGATCGATCAAGAGCTCAGCCTGTATAGTCCACCCCAAGGGGCCAAGCCGGTTCCTCATGTCGTACACTAGATAAGGGCGCTAGTCCCTGAGCTCGGGCAGGCGCCCTGTTCCACCTCACCCTGTCTGCACCCAGGCGAAAAATGAACTTTGCTGTTGGAAACCCACTTAGCCTCCTGATTAAATTAACTGCACTGTCAGCTTACACTACGCATAACACTGCAAAGAATGGTCATTCGGAACACTTCATGGTGTTCACTGACCACACAGCAGTCCTTTGAACAGAACAAGGAGATGCTGCATGGGTCAAACTCGGGAACGGCGTTGTGTCAGGGTTCTGTCCTTTCACCATACCGGTCCAATCTGCACGATGAGCAAACACTTCAAGACACTCACTGGAGGAAGGCTACTAACAACCTTTGATATGCAGTTGCCACACCTTGTTTGCTGAGGAGGAGGAGGACTGTGGCACTGGCTGAGGAAGATCAAAGACTGCAGCCTTCAGTGTGGATTACCACTAGATGTCAAGAAACTCTCACCCTTCACAGCTGGGCAGACACCATGAAAAAGGGAGGAAAGACTGAACTTGTCAAGGGTTTCATTTTACTTGGAATGTCCACGGAAGCAGCAGTCAGTAAGTCAAATCGTTTTGCCTTAGTGAATGAGAGCTATTAAAATCGTTGCCTGTGTCTAAGCCTTATTGTTAAACAGTGTTCTGTCACTTAAGCTTTAAGCTGGATAAGTGAATGTTCCATGTATTTAGTCTAAAAGGCTTTCCGATATACATTCTCTCTTTTTTTAAAGTAGTAGTTTCAATTCTATACCATTGGCTAGATTAATGAGATTATTCATAGGATTACCAAATGTCTCATAGGGGCTATGTTGTTTTTTTTCAAGAAGCTAATAATGCTGCCTCTAAACTAGATCAGAGAGGTATATAGATCTTAAATATTAATGGAGTTTGAGCTCACACTTAATCTGAGCCCTTAATCTAAGAACAGTTGCTCAACACTAGCCCCCATAAAGAGACCACTGAAGATATGGGTGCATTGCAAAGTGCGGTGAAGAAATCAGATGGTGCCCAGATGGTGTCTGGGGTTTTCAAGGCTTGTCTTGAAATAAGCAGCCACTTAAGTGAGATGTCAGCTCAATTCCTAAATCTACAACCATACAGGGGGTAGGGAGTGGGGAGTGGTAAGGGGGAAAAAACAAACCTAAGAACATTGCCGTGAGTCAATTCCAACTATAATGACCCTAAAAGGCTTCCTAGATCATAATGTTTACAGGACCGCTAATGCCAATCACTCTCACCTTTATCCAATTCACAAAATGTAACAAACAAACAAAACCATGGGTTGGGGGTGGGGCAGATACCATAATTTTCCATAAGGACTTAACTATTCCTATTTCTTTTCCCGAATCTTTAATCTGGCTCCGATTCTTCTCAAGTACACTGAAACATGCTCAAAGCCTCCCCTTCTCTGCCATAAGTTCCCACAATAACCTCCCAGTTTTCTTCCACCTTGCTGGCCACATTTCTCCAGTGCCTCCTGTGGACAATGACTTCC